TGGCCTTGCCCATATCACTTTCTCGTCCCCTCATCTCTCCTCTCTGCTCACCTGCCCAACTTGCCTCTGAGGCAGTCAATACTAGTCTGCCCCACGAATTGGGATGGGGTTGAAGGGAACCCAGAGGGCATTTTTTTAACACAAATAATATATGAATATGGAATTCCTCCCCACCCCCACCCAGTCTCTGGCTGCCATGTTCTTTCCTGGTTCTGACATCAGCACCCCATCTCTTCTGCTTCTTCCTGCCTCAGCCCTTCCTCCAGGTTCCTGGCTGGCTGGCTCTGAGTCCTCCCACTCCAGCCCACTAATTCTCCTCTACCTCTTGGCTTCCCTTCTCTTCTCCTCCCCCTCATCTGACTCCCTCCTTGCATCTTTTGTTCCACCTTTCTGCATTCCTCCCTCATTTACTGCCTTTTGGATTTCACCCTCCCTCATTTCCTGTCCTGGCTCTCACTTAACGTTTATCTCTCTTTTCTTCAGAGTCCTAGGGTCAGTAGTGGAAGGGGCCACAGGGTTCATGGCGATCATGCCCAAATCCTGCCCCTACAGAAACAGCACAGGGTGCAGAGAATTCACTTTTCCCTGGGTTCTCACAGCAAACCACAAGCAGAACCCAGCCTTCTCTCTCCTTGCTATTCCCAATCTCAGTCTTCCTCAGACAAAACAAGTTTCTAGAGTTAGAAGATGCCACACAGACCTGATTCATGCTCTACCCCAGATCAAGTATGAGGCCCAGCTAGGTGAAGTAACTTACCCAAGGTCACATGCAGCAATTCAGTGGAAGTCAGGGGAACAGGCCCAAGTCTTGTGTTCCCCAGGCCAGCATCCTGTTCACTCTATCATGTTGTTTTCGTCTGTCCTCCCTGATCCTCTGACCCTTTGACTGTCAGCCTCTCCCTCCCATCTAGTAAGTGTTTGGGTGTCAAGTGCAGTCAGCTCTCCATCACCATTAAAGGGGCCAGTAACAACTCCAGCAATTCACACTCTTGCCTGGCTCAGGCAGTGGTTGCAGACAGGGTTTTCACCCCACCATGCTGGCCTGACTTTGCTTTTAGGTATACAACCAAGGACATACAAGCCTGCAGTCTGGGTACACAAAGCAGAGGAAGGGCTACTCACAGCAGGGTGGCCAGTCCTACTTGCTCATTGCTGGCTGTGTACAACTTTGTTGCTTCTCCCAGCAAATTTACCTTTTTCTCTCTCCCACGGCCCCTTGCCAACATCTCTATCCCTGACTCCTTCTCATGGCTTCTGCCTCCTCTTTGTGTCTGTCTCTCTTCCCACCCCACTCCATGTCCCATCTGCAGGGGTCCTCCACTGTTTTGTTTGTGCTCACCTGTGTGTTCTGTCCCTGCCGTGGAGGCTGGGACCACCTCTACCCAACAATCTGGGACAGTGCCCCACGTCTGCAAGGGACCAGTATGTGTCCTCAGGAAAATGTGTGCTTGGGAGGGAACACATTTAGCATGTGTACAAAGCAGTGAAAGTAGTATGAAAAGCACCGGACAGGGAGTCTAGAGTGCTAAGCCCAAGTCAATCATTAGTTGTGTGACCAGGGTACTTAATCCTCCTGTACCTCAGCTCTTTCCCCATAAAATCGGGACAGCCCCTTCTCCTGGGATTACCCTGATGAAGATACTGGAAGCATCAGTTGAAGAGTACAACGGGAAAAGGCAGAGGGAGAGGCACTGCGGGACAGGCTCACTGGTGCGGACAAGTATGTAGGAGAAGTGCCTCCCAGGAACTGAACACTGGGGACTATCTGTGGGATCGAAGGTTTGTCCGAGAACCTGCCCCACCTGGGTTGTCTGACCATGCGTAAGCCTGACCATGTGTGGGCCTGGGAAGGGGTGATCAGGTGGGGCTGTCCAAAGACTCTACCCTGCTCTGCTGACTCACCCGTGCCCCTGATCCCAAATCACTCTAAGGCTCATCCCCCCGCCAATGACAACCCTCACCAGCTGCTCCCAGTCTTTCCCCTCCCCACATCTCAACCCCCTCCCCCCACCTTCTTCTTCTCAGGAAGCTCCTTGTACTTCTTGGACAGAATCTTGGTCAGGTCCAGGTTGCTCATCTCAGGATGGAGTTTTGCGTACTTAGCCCGCTTCTCCATGAAAAAGCGGAAATAAGGGGTCAGGGGCTTCTTTGGAAAGTCTGGGTGTTTCTGGAAGAAGGGACAAGGACACAGTGAAGATCAGACACCATCACTCTTTGGACAGTTCCTCCCTTGTGCTCCTACTCCTGGAAACTCACCTTGAGTTTTTTGCCTTTGTAAGGATTTTTAACATGTTCCTGAGCATCGAGGATCAATTCTGTCAATGTGCGGAACTTTCTTACCTAAAGAGGGGAGGTAGGTGAAGTTCAGCAGAGGGAAACACCATCTAGCAGCATGTCCCCATTTTCCAATGTGTCCCCTCCATTCTCTATTAGACTGAATGTATCAGAGGAGGAGCAGCAGAACATAACAGTCACACAATCCACGCAGCTCCAAAACCCAGGCAGATACCAGGCACTGGCCCATGCCTATTGCAGAGGCCCAGTCAGGTGCACATAAAAAGACAGTAACAATGTGACCACTTGACCTTGGTGTGGTCTTTGATGACAGTCCAGGAGACAGAAGCTCCAACACAGTAAATATTCAAGGCCACACAGCCAGAAAGTGGCAGAACTGAGAGCCCTAGGCCGATGCTGCCAACTATGCCACCCTCCAAAAATGTTCAAGGGCAGGTAAAGAGCTAACAGGAGACCATATGAGTTCTTCTCCTGGTCTCTTTCCTCATTTACTGCCTTCTGCTTCATCTCAGACCCCAGAAGGAAGGCTGAAATACCAGTAAATGTATACATATGTGCACGTGTCAGAAGAGACGTCAGTTACCTCGTTAGAAATTTCCACCCATTTCAGCTTGCACATGTCTCCAGAAAAGTCTTTAAATGCTACTTTTTCCCAGTCCATGTGTGACTCAGTGGTTTTGAACTTGGAGCTGTCATTGGATGGAAGGTTGTTCTTCATGCATTCCAGCAAAGTCAACATGTCTTCCTGGGACCAGCGGTCTGGTGAGGGGTGAAAAAAGCCATCACACCTGGCTCATGATACCTGCTGTATTTGTTCCCCAATCTCTGAGAGCTCAACCCTTCCCTGCTGGAGCACTGCAGTCAGTGGCTACCTCTCTTTGGAAAGCATAGAGAAGACATGGCCTAGTCCTAAGGAAAAACTATGGTCATGTTGGATTAAGGCAGGGAGATTCCCTATTTAAGGATAGACTGTAATCCAGACAGTATCACACCTAGAAAGCTACACTTGAATCCAGGTCTGGGTTCCTTCAAAGCAATCATCATTTGTAACATGCCAGGCTGCCATGGACAGAAGGAAGGGAATGGAACTGCAGCTGTAGTGATCTGAAGTCCTGGGGGAAAGCAGCTAGCTCATCAGGAAGGACAAGGAAGCAGGGAGACAACACAGGTAAATTATGTTGCCAAGTCCAAGTTCTGGGTGGATACCCTAAGTGTGCAAAGACTGAAAACGGTGTGTGGGCAGTAAGAAAAACCCATGCAGATGTTTCTCTGGCCAACACAGCTGGAAACCGGTATTAGAGACATGGGTATTCCACTATTGCCCCCTCCAGCAGACTAAAGTAGAATTCCTGGCAAGTAACAAAAAAAAATGGGATGGAGAAGAGAACCATACAGGGCAGCTGGACAAAGTACTCAGGGCCCTACTCCAGGGATAACCTCTAGAATTCTGAGCTGTCTTCTCAGTTCAGCCAAGGGAGTGAAAAAGAAGGTCTGGACCAGCCATTTCCAACCAGGAAATACAACCTTTGGAAAAGCTCTGGCAGTGTCTCTGGAGAGGGGGCTACCCTGGAAGGGAAGGAGCTGGGAGAACAGCTGTCCAAGGCCAGGAGTTAAAAGGGTACTTCATTTTAGTTTGCATCTGGTAACTTGGGCCAGGGTTTCCCAGAGCAGGTCACCTGGATCCATAATCCTCTCTCTAGCCCCACAGGCAATGCCAGATGCTCAGCTTCATACTATTCTTCACCTCCCCAACCAAAACCCACCCCTTAATACAGACTACATTCCTACTGGATGGGACAGGGTCTAATCATGTATGGCTCTCTCAGGCTGGGGGCTTCAAAACACTAGGGCCCTCTCCCAAAACTGTGATTTTCACAACAAAATGCGTGAAAAGCCTTCTCTCATGCACCCCCATCCTTGTTTCCCTATGTTCCACCCTCATCCCTCTTCCCATTCCAGGACACTGCACAGGGACACGCTCCAGGGTGTCTGGACCCCCCAGAAGGAGGACTTCCACAGCCTCTTTCTCCCTCTCTGATGTGTAAGAAAGGGAGTATTAAAAATATAATTTATAGGCTTAAGGCCAAATATGAGCTCTGGTAGCATAGTGCCTAAGGCATTTGACTGCTAACCAGAAGGCTGGCAGTTCAAACCCACCAGCCACTCCACAGGAAGAAGACCAGGCAATCCACTTCCATAGTGACACTGCCTTGGAAACCGAAGGAGTCGCTGAGTTGGATCCGACTCCCCAGCAGTGAGTTTGGCTTTTTTTTTTAAGGCCAAACAATTTGGATTTAGCCAAACCACTACGATAAGGGGTTCGGGTTCTTAGTTCTTCTAAATAGAAGACAATCTCTCACCTCAATTCAGAGAAGGCACTGGAGAACCATTTTAAAAGGGATAAGAGATTCTACATACAGTCATGTGGAATGAGGCTTTAAGTTACAGAAAGCGCTGCAAGTGGGGACTCCTACCTTGGCCTTTGGGGGCGGCCATTTCCAGGTCTGTGGGGCAATCGGCTTCTCCGTTCATTCTCCAGCCGTCCAGCCACCTCCTCGGTCGTGCTGGCGGGGCAAGCCGGGGTCAAAGCCACCTCACCCTGAAGAAGAGATACCAGCTCCCATTCAGGCAGGCTGAGAGATGAGAGCCTTTCTATCCCTGTCCCCTCCCTCAAAGGGAAAGAAGCACAAGTCCACACTGGAAGGATGTCCTACCAAAACCCTACTAGAGATAATGTGTGAGAGCACTTAAGAGGCACACCAGTTCCTCCTCTTTTCCCTAACCCCCTCCCCTAGGCCCTGAAGCCCAGTTCCACGGCGTGCGCCCTCCCCTGCCCACGCGTGAGACTGCTCCAAGCTCCCGCGTGCAGCGAGCGCCCGCCCTCCTTCTCCCCACCCCGTGCCCCCCCCAAAAAAACTCCTCCTCCTCGGTCTGCCCGCCCCAGGGAGGCCCCGGGCTGGAGGGCGGGGGAGGAAGAAGGGCGGGTAAAGGAAGCGCGCGGCCGCGGGAGCGGGCACGCGCCCCAGTCTCCTCCTCCCGCCTCCCCCCTGGCCGGTTCCCCCCGCCTCCGCAACCCGGCGGGGACCCGGACGCAGCGCAGCCGCCGCCGGCCCCGGAGCGCGTCGGCCGCACCACCCCCGGGGAACGGCTCCGGATTCCGCCGCACCCCCTCCTGGGCTCCCGCCGCCGTCCCCGCCCGCCAGGGCAAGGGAACAGCCGGAGAGAAGCGCCCTAGCCTGCCCCCCGCCCCCGAGCCACCCACCCCGGCCAGAGGCGCCGTCACCACCCAGCCACCCGACGCGCACGGAGGAGCCCGGCGCAGAGGCGCGACCGCGGCGGGAACCGTCGCCTCCTCCCTCGAGCCTGCGGCCCAGCCCCGCCGGCGCCCCCGCCCCGGCCTCCGGGGAGCCGAGCCAAGGAGAGGGCGGGAGGACGGCGGCCGGGAGGCGGGGGCGCAGGGCTCACTGGCCCCGCCGCCCCCTCCGGCGGCCGGCAAGAACTGCGCCTGCCGGCCCGGAGAAGCGCGGGCTCCTCCGCCTGCGGCCCGGGCTCGGCTCGGGCCTCGCTTCCTGCCTTCCCCTCCCCCGGTTCTCGGCGTCCTCCACAGTGCCCTGGTCTGCTCTCGCCCAGTCCTCCGTCCGGAGGTCGCCCTGGTTCCCGGCCGGACGTCCCCCGCGCCCGCGCCTCGCTCCTCAGCCCCGACCTCGGCCCGCTTCGGTTACCCGGCGCAGCGCGGCCTCCCGGCTTCCCGCTCCCGCAGCTCCCTCCCCGGCTCTGAGCGGCGGCGCCTC